TTTACTCTTTTATAGCTCTTTCGATTTGTTGACTCGACCCAACTTCGAGTCAAGGTCTGTTCTTTTTAATTGTGTTTCTTGCGCAGTTTAACTCTTCTTTCACAGCTAAAAAGAACAGATCATTGACTTAGAGTCAGGTCAAGTCAATAAATCAAAAACGCTATAAATAAGAAATAAATATATATGTTTCTATTAGTAATAGTTTAAATTTCATTAATTATAAACACATTTACTTATCGAATTATTAGATGTATATAATGACTAGTAAGTGTATACATATTATTATTGAATTAACATTTGAACTGTGACATATATAGAATTTTATTTAGTTTTTTCAATTTATTAAAATTTCCTTTCTTCTTAAACAAATATAATTGAAAAATAAGTATATGATGTTATAAATCATACCTCTATTAGTATTTAAAACGTGATAATTTTTACACAATCTTTTTTGTGGCGGTTGATTCTCGTTTTCCTCAAAAGATATTTCTTGCAGATCTAGTTCTGTTATACCCTTACGGAAAAGACCGACTGCCGGGTGTGTAGTTATTACTGGAGGTATTACTGCCCGTGTAGTAGTTATTACTGGTGGACCACACGGCAAATACTACACACCTGTGGTTATTACTGGAAGTATTACTGCTCGTGTAATAATTACTGTCGGCAGATCACACAGCAATTATTACAGATCCCTGTGAATATTACTTCCGTCTATAAACTACTGCTGGAGGATCACTGTGTGTATTACAGCCTATGTGGTAACTGCTGTCGTTGTAGTAAATCACAAGGCAATTTTATAATTTACCTGTGATTATTATTACAATATTCATATACTAAAAAAACGGATTGTTTATTACTTTTGATGGCATTCAAATGATTAATTCTATTATGTAGAATTGTATGTGTGTGCTAGAACGACATATAAAATGTGCATGCGTGCATTAAATATCTTTATTAGTAATATAAATTTTCATTTTAATTTTTTAATTTGAAAACATTTTCTTGCAATTTTTTTAATTTTCAAAGAATGTTGAAATTTTTAATGGTAACATATTGAAATAAATAATTGTGTGATATAAAAAAGCATGCATGCCTGCGTATATATATGTATATATTTTTCGATATTTAAATAACACCCAGTATTTAAAAAAATGCAAATTATTTTATTTGTTGTTTATATACATTCTTATTTCAATCAGTTTCTACAGAGTTTACAAGAGGTATAATGCATCGCTTGTTATTATTAGAATTATCGTTGTTTGATGAAAAGACAGGAATATTAATGCATTTATTTTTAATCATATGAAGCAATGAGCATCTAATATTGTCCATTTCTTCTACAACATAAGAGAAATTATTCGACGATACATTCTTATTTTTACATAACACTTCTTGCTTCAGTACTCGCAGTTCCTTACAAATTAACAGTTGCTTCTTTTCGCCTGTAGCTTTTTCTGCTATACATAGATACTGAATAACTAACAAAGAACCAGATTGTGTTAAAACGGTATTGTTTCGTCTTTTTATCAATCTAGCATAATCGAAACCGTGGTACAGAACATTTTTATAGATAAAACGCTGAAAAGTCAATGCTTTGTTTTTAACAGAGTCTCCCAAAAATTCTTCAATAGTGATTTTTTCAATCAAGGAAAAGTCGATTTTTTTTGAAGGACCAAACGCTGTTAAATGATTTTCATATTCTATACATCTTTGAATTCGACATTGCTTCATAAGTGAGTCAAAAACAGCCTTTCCTTTTACGCTACAGTTTGGTTTATTGAAAGTTGAACTTTGCTTAATATATCTTATACGGGAATAAAATTTACATATTTGTTCCGGAATACATTGGGTACCTTTAAATAGTGATTGTATTGTGTGATTAAAATTTTCAAAAGGGAAAGTTGACCATGCCCATAAGACGCCGAACTTTTTAACAGCTTCCGGAATATGTAACATCATATGTACATTATAATTCATAAACGTTTTGTCATACAATTTTTCAATATCAAACACAAATTTTCGAAGTGTTAATGTAGCCATAATAAATTCATTAGAACGCATTCGCATACTTAGAAAAACATGCATACTGTACACGAATAATAGCCAATGTTTAACATATTTCTTTGGCATTAGCCCTTCTAAACAAACAATAGAATAGTACAACGCAAAATTTTTATATTCTGATGCTTTCCACAATTTACGTTGTGTGATCGATCGTGGCGTCCTAGTTATTTCGTGGGTAGGTTTCATGCTCAGTAATCTTTTATCAAAACACGACTTGTGCTTAGTTAAGCACCAATCTTTATCGCGATTCCTAGGGTCAAACCACGCTATTACAAATTGTTTAATAACGCCTTCTGCAACACTGTGCATATATTCCGGCGGAAATGATGAAATTACATCAAAAAGTGGTATAAGTGCAACAACGGATGGACCTTTCACACCTTTGACTGGCTTGTTTTTTCGTAGGGTTTTCTCGGATTGATATTCGTAATGGCTTTTTTTACGTAAAGTGCTTATATTTCCACAGTATATTCGTTTTCGTCCGTTTTGTCCTGTGCAAATCTGTTTTCCTTTATGGTAACAATATGAACATCCATATATTCCATTAAATTGCTTCATACATTGAATTGCTGGTCTGGCAACAGAATCAACTGGTGCAACTAGTGTATGAACTTTTATACGGATTTTTTTATTGTTTGTAAGTGTCGTACTTTCAAAACCAATATTATGTAACTCTATAAGTTCATCAACAAAAGGTTTAAGGAAAATGTTCATGGGAGGTTTCCTTGAATTGAACCACAAACCAGTTAATAATATTTGTTGTTTTCGTATACGATAAGGCAATTCATTAATGGACACTAAAATTGGCCATAAAGATGTTAAAGAGGAATTGAACAACTGTACGCCATCCGTGTTCCACTGTATTGTAATATCATTCTTTCCTATGACATTTTTTCTCTTTAAATTATGGTACAGTGTTCCATTGATAATATCACTATCATCGCTTTCTTGCCGAAATTGCGCGTAAATCTCAGAATTAACGAGTTCGATTAGTTGTTCTTTCAGCGGAATATATATAAAAAATGCCTGATCTTTCTTCAATTCCGATAATTTATAATGCTTTAAACAATTATCGCAACGCACAGTAATGCAGTTATGGTCAATATTTAATACAAATAAACATTGCGAACAATAGTAGTATACTCGATAATTATTCTTCGGGAATGCTTTTAAGAAAAGATATTTCGAACCGTGGCATCTGTGTGGAAGATGGCAGTCAATTGTTTGAATAAGAGACTGTAATGCTTCATCGGTAAAATTATGACGAAGAGCCATACTCATCATTATAAGGACATTTTCTTCTTTGGTGAGATCACAGTCTTCGTATATAAGATGTCGCCACACTGTCATTATGTATAAAGTACATATAAACATTTGTTACATTACATATAATACATTAAACATTTGTTTCAAATTTTATTTTATGTATTTGTATATATCAATTTGGATAGGTTCATTTGAGCACGTAAACTTTATGTACATGATCATTTAGACACATTATTTTTTGCACGTTACTGCTGTGGAACGTATTTTCTCACATGTTTTCACACTTTTTTAAACGTACAATTACTATTCACTTACATTTCTTGTATGTTAAATTTATTATTAAGGAAATTTGAATCATTGGGAATAAAAAGTAAATAAAAGAATCATGTGATATCAAATTGTGGCATTAAGGGCATTGATTGTTGAGGATAGAAATATAATCATAAAAATAAATAACGTAATCAAATTATACTATGGACAGGGGTTATTAATTGATAATTATTGTTGAAGATAAAAATTGAAATAAACAAGTTATATTTAAATTAAAGATACTTACTGCTACCTTCCCTAAATTCAGCAGGAGAGGAGATGTATCAATTATGTAACTCCGTTTTACTCTTCTTTCCATCTTTTTTTTCTTTTATTAATTATTAATAACTGTATTAAAGATTTTGGAAATGAACTTGAATAGATTGAATTGAGTTGATTTTATTAATCATTTATAATCATTAATAATTATTAACTCATGAGAAATTGTTAAAAGTCCAATAAATCAATTCCTCAATTCAATCTATTCAAGTTCATTTCTAAAATCTATTTATAATAAAGTTATTTATAATAATATATAATTTAATAATATACTTATAATAAAATAAAAGACAAAAAAGAAGATGGAAAGCAAAATAAAACGGAGTTTCATAATTGTTATATCTCCTCTCCCAGTTTTAGGAACGTTTAATTTAAATATAACTTTTATTTATTTCAATGTCCATCCTCAACAATAATTATTAATTAATGACCTTGCCCCAAGGCATAATTTGTTTTTATTTTTGTTTAATTTGTAATTATTTTAATTATGTTTATAATTGTATTTCTTTCCTCAACAATCACTCCCATTAAATGCCCTCTAAGACATGATTTGGTCACATGATTCTTTTATTTACCTTTTCTTCCATTTTTCTTTATAATAAATTCTTTGAGATTAATATATGTATATGTAATGTTAATTTATCAATTATTTAATCTTTTTGTTTTTTTTCTAACATCCTATAATTATATATTCTTGAGTTAAATACAAATATAGAGTTAAATACAAATTTAAACATTTAAAATTTATTACAGTACTTTATAAATGTACTGTTAAAAAATATATGTACATAAAAATTTATGTGTTGCACAAAAGCTGACGTGCAAAAAATACATGTGCAGGTTCATTTTCATGCATAAAAATATTAATTAAATGTACACTACAATATATATATTGCATTCATCAGGTTTACCTTGATCATTGGGGTAATGATTTATCTCATCATCCTCACTCTCATCCATGTCATCTCGTTGTGCATTTTCTTCGCTTGCATCGTCACTGGATTCCAAATTGTCAGCTCCATTATAAGAATCGCTTATAATTGACGATCTGTCTTCGTCAATGATATTAGAATCATCATCGTCACCTACGTCTTCGCTTGATGCACTGTCATTAGCAGAGTGTTCTTGATCATCATTGACACTCTCTTGCGACAAATTGCTGTCACAAATATTTTCAACATCTCGTAAATTGTCATTATTGCCCATCATTGTCGAATCACGTTCTTTTTCAGATTCACAGTCATTATGATCGTTGTTTTCATGATTATCAAGCAGTCGTTCACTATTCTGCACAATAATTAATATATATATTATATATACAACAAACAATTTAAAAGCATTAAAATAGAAGTATCCCTATATGTAAAAATAGATCCCCTCTTTTGTTTCTTTTATGGTGATTAATTCATTTGTGAGGATTACGATTTCCAATTATTTATCTGATATTATTGTACATATACTTACAACAACATGAAACATAACCTCATCATTATGTGGTGGTCGACTCGGTTTTGCACGTCGGTGGTTTAGTTCTTCGCGTCGTTTCTTTCGAGAAATCACTGTTGATGTAGGAATTTCATCCCTGCTATCGTCACTTTTTAAGTATTGTTTGTATGGCCCTCGTTTATTTTCATTCATCTTTGCTCTATTAATTTCGTCCGTTGATAACACATTAACACATATATAAGCGAAACCACGTGGAGCCGTAGTCAGTAAAGGCTGGGTTCCGCAAAGCGCATCATGCGCATGATGTATCATGGTATCCTTGCGTTCACTAAATGTTAAAGAAAGATAAATGGATAAATCATGTGCATGATGCATTTTGCGGAACGTAGCTAATGACAGGTTCCTTGAGAAAACTTGTATATGCAATATACTGTTCTTTTAGGAAACATAACAAACAACATAGATAGAATGCATACGTTAATTACACAACAATTAGCATAAAAATATCATTTTATCCTTATTATTTACTGTGTTAAACAAGGATAAAATGATACTGCGCTAACCGCTGCGTAAACGAATATACCCGCCATAGAGTGTGCTCGCCGCTCATTGGATCTGACCGTTAGGTCTTACAGGCTAAAAGTAATTACAGATTGGTCCAATGAATGGTGAGCTGTGCACGGACGGCCCGAAAAGTAAACAAAAGAGATAACTGCATGGTATCTAATGTCCGCATATATAGAAACCAAAACTCGCGCGAGGATCAAGTCGTACGAGTATATTACGGAAGTGAATCGTTTATATATCTTGTTATTTTGATTCCATTAATAATTATGGATGACGAATATCCAAATCTCGACGATGAAAAGTGTTTATTAGTGGAATTTCCCAACGAAAACGGGAACGTAGCAATTGGCTACTTATCATAGTTAACAAGTGCAGAAAATCATAACGAAGATAATTTACAAAATATTATTGTAAACGGACAGGAAGTTGTTATGAAGTGGCCAAAAGAATGTGCCGTTGGCCCGTTGACAACAAAAATGAAAAGACAACTGAAGAATTGCAAGTGGTCCATGCACGTCGTCAAGATTTTAGGATTTGGAGGTAGATAATATATAAATTTTTTTCAAACAAAATAATGGAAAAACACCTATAATTAAATAAAAAAAAGAACACAAAAATTACTTCTGCTGCACTACTATTTCGCAATAAAACTGACAATCGGGAATAATATTTCTTTGATCACAACAGGTATTTTTCCGTGGAGAATATTCTATATATATGTACTGTATTTTCTATAATAATACATATATATTTATCATCTCTAATGAATTAAAGTTAGTATGAAAAAATCAATTTTGATATATATATATATATATATATATATATATATATAATGATTTTTATATAATTTTCTGGGAGTTTTTCGTATCTAGTAACATATATTTATTAATTTGAAATTGCACATTATTTATACAGTTATTCGAATTTAAAGTATAATTTCATATATTTATATACCTATTTGCTTGTTTGATAGCCTGGACAAAAATGTCTAATCAGCTCACAAATTTAATCAAATATGATGAGCCAAATCCCAAAAAGGAAGATCGGAAAAAATACGCAAAAAAGAAGGGCAGTGATGATGAATTCGCCCACGAGGAAAATGACGACAATAATAGTAAAAGCACAAAGGTAACAGTTTTAGTGTTCAATTGTAATATATAACAAAGGCATAATGTACACGTATCAGCAAGGTAGGCAAATTATATTGTCTTAATTTTTAAAGCAATGAGGCGATTACTCACTGATCTTCAATGAATGGTCATTTGCTGTGCATATATAAAATTACTACTGCGAATTAGTTTGTATATACTCGTTGATTATACATTTAGTAAAATAGATGATCCACGTGTTATTAAAATATTCTTCACTTAGTTTAGTTTAATTACACAAAATATGTTTAAAGTCTACGCTTTGCATAAATTAAAAGAGTTGTCTGCGTGTAATAAAAGTAATTTTGATGAGATAAGACTTGTGTTTTAAATAACTTTCGATTTTAAATAAATAACACTCCGTCTGATATTATTAATATATTATCTTTCTTTATTTAAATATTTAAGCAAACAAAGAAAAAGCAATTGAAACAAACAGCTCATGCAGCTACTAGAGTATCGGAGGATATCCTGAAAAATAAGAAGAAATTAAGGAAGATAAATAAAAAAGAAAATGTAAATATGTATATACATTCATAAGACAATCAGAAGAAAAACGATATATTGCTTGGATCGATTATTGTGGTGCTATGAGGTCGAACGAGTTAATTATAACCATATTTATTTATTTATTTATTATAGTTATTTTTCTAAACCGGGCTCAACACTCATATGACCATATGTATTAATTATTTATTAATTATTATATTTAAAATATAACTAATAAACTCCTATATATTCTCCTTGCTTCCACTTTCTGCATTTTTGGGAAAAGTCTTTATTAAACTATATGCTCAATATCATCATAAAACCGACTGTATGATCACATTAAGCGCACATTATAGTCAAACATTTGAGTGGGACCTGGTTAATCGATTTAAGCAATTCTGTTTCGGCCTATTACCGTAATATTATTATTATGTTAAGTAATTGAATACTATAAAATAATACATTTTGTGAGTTATTTTTACTGATATAAACATTATGTGTCATATTCTACAGATTACGTCAGGCTCGGAATCATCTGATGATGATGCCCTTCTATCTCATATGATCACGCAATCATCAAAATACGATGTGGAAACCTTAAAGGCAGACAATCGAACTTTAAAACTCGAAAATCGAAAACTAAAAGAGGTTACAGAAGGTATATAAGTATAATAGATAATATAGTAATAGGTAATATAATAGTAATAAGTAATAGTTTCAGCATAGAATTTACAGTTTTCGGTTGTCAAATGTTAGTCATTTATATATAATTATAATTAACAACATATATTTCATCTTCAGATATGAAAGAAATCAAAAACATCATGAAAGACATTCGGGATTGCGTCATGAAAATTGAAAAAAGAATAGAGAAGCTGGCAGGAATATCCGATACTAATAAGCAGGTAAATAGTACATGTTACTACTAGGCACTAAAATCTTCTGCTTATTTTTTTATTTAATATTTTTATATAATAGAAAATATTAATTTATGTACAAATAAAAATATTTTTATCTTTTTCAGGAAAATGCGAATGGCCCGATTGACAACATTCTATTTGATGGCACATTATCCAGTGTGTATATTGATCCGCCACTACAGCCAGAAACTTGCAGTGCAAATGGAGAAAATGTAATGGTGGTAATACCATTAGATAATACAGTGGTACCGTTCTATAATTTATTGGCAATTTAAATGTTAATTTGATACGAAAAATATATATTAAAGTAAGATAATAATTTTCTATTTATTTTCAGAAAACTGTAAAACCGAATAATAATAATCCCTGCCAGCCTCTCATCAAATCCGAAATTAATGTGAGTTAATTGCAATGCTATATAATTGTAATATCTTAGGCACGGCCTCTAAATTTCTTGGAATCCAAATAATGAAATATCACTCAATAGTAAAGGAATTTTCTTTATTTCAACGTTTTATTCAAAACACATTTGCGTATTTTTTACTCCACAAGTATAATAGTAAAATCGCTCACTTCTTGCTCCAAAAAAGTTTTTACTGCGTAAAAAGAGTGACTTGATAACTGATAACTCTTATTAAAATAATATGAAATAAAGATAATATAAAATTTTCGTTTTAAAAAATTTACGGATATATCATATGATTAAGATTCAAATTTACATTATTATTCATTCTTATAGGAAAAACCGATTTTTATTGATGATGCGCAGAAACAGAACAGCGAGAATAATGTAGGAAGGATAAAGAAATCATTGGTCAGTTTTATCTATATTCTTTTATCTCATAAAAATCACAAATAAAAAGATTAGGTCATGTTAAAAAAAGAACCTTCAAAAATTTAAATCACACTACCGCCTTTCTGACAAACGCAATTAATTATTTTA